CTTAATAAATTTGCCACTTAACAAAATAAAAACATTCAAGTGATCAATAGGACTTGCCATCCCGAACAGATGGGGACTGCTAATAAAATTGTGAAAGCATTCTCTGAAACTGTGAACTAAAGATTAATTCATTGTCTCCAGAGAGCTGGTTTAGGCCATAATGCAGATGAAAGCAGGAAGATTGTTTCCCAGTCCCTATTTGTGTCATTCTTGCAACTTGCACATTTCCTTCCTAGGAAAAGGAACTCTTAACTCCAGCCAGCTGCAAACATGGTTTCTCTGGAGCATCAGAGCAACTGCACAGAAATGTGGAATTCAAAGGAAAAGTGACATGGCCTAGCTTCTTAGGAATTGTTTTCCATAAAAAATATAACATGAGATAAATAATAACAGTAGTAGAAATAACACAGAGTGAAGAAGGTAACAAATAAGAGAACTAATAAAAACTCTCAACTAGAGAAAAAATATTTATACTCTTAAAAGATCTAATTATTTCGCTGATTTCCATAGGATGGGAAATCTTGCCAAATTAATTCAGAAACTAGATGTCAGAGGCATCTGGGTGGCTCAGTCGTTTAAGCCTCTGCCTTAGGCTCAGGTCATGATCCCAGGGTCCTGGGATTGAGCCTCGCATCAGGCTCCCTGCTCGACGGGAAGCCTGCTTCTCCCTCTCCCACTCCCCCTGCTTGTGTTCCCTCTCTCGCTGTGTCTCTCTCTGTCAAATAAATAAATAAAATCTTTTAAAAGAAAAGAAAAGAAAAGAAACTAGACGTCAGTTACAACACACCCAAAAGTGCTGCTTCTGGGAACCTTGTAATTTAATTTTTAGCAGTGATTTTTATCACAGGCCACTGGGAGCATTGTGAAATGGTTGATTAAAATGTAAAAAGATGGGCCACAATCCACTGTTGCAACAGTGGGAGTCAAGAGCCAAGAACTCAGGGATTTTGAGTCCTTCCAAGAAGCTTGAACCATGGAATACAGGAGCCAATGGCCAACCCCCACTGAAACTCACCAACTCTTTACTACAGTGCAGCTTCTTAAGAGTAGTCAGAGAGCTCCAACAATCAGACAGTTCCTTCGGCATCAAATAAATCTTGCTTGAGGAGGAAATTTATAGAAGCAAACAGAATTTTATGAGGCCAGATTAACGTATTTATTTCAGTACATTTAGGTCATAAAATTATCATTGATCTGAATGCTCTGGAACATAAACACAATTCATGTCTATTTTGCCTCAATAGCAGAGTCACTTTGGGTTACAAGGCCCAGATCTAGTCTGTGCTTGTTATTTCAGACTTGAGCACCAGTCGGTTATGTATGCACAGTCCTAGGACAGATGCCATTTGGATAGTGATTGGCGACTGCTGAGACTTCTACTACCTAGAAGCATTGATGCACTGGCTACCAAAATATCAAAACATTTTCTGGGAACAATTTAGTTACACCTAAGATAGCAGAGAGGAGTAGCATATTAGCTGTAGGTCACCTGTCCTGGATTTTTTTTTATACTTTTGGGTGTTTTGTGTTTTTTTCTCCCTAAGAAGCAGAAACTTAATCTTCCTGTTTACTTTTTATTAATAATAATAATAATAATAATAATTTGCATTCCATGAGCCCAGACCAACAAATAGGGATGGTGGTTTGATAGAATACTAGATGACAGAAGAAAATAAGTCAATCACTGAATTTTAAATTTGATCTCCCCTTTCCCTGCCAAAATCACAAAACCATCTTCACATCAAAGCTGGTTTCTTTCACCAATTCTGACAAGGAGATTTTAAATCCTACACTTTATTTTTTATTTTAATTTTTTTAAAAGTGAAAAAGGGGTAACAAATTATCTGTCAAAAAAATTAGAAGACTCCATAGAGCCAAAACAATCGTGTAAAGGACAAAACTGGAGTTCTCACACTTCCTGATTATATCTTACTGCGAAGCTACAATAATGGAAACAGTATGATTTTGACAAGGGTGGCAAGGCCATTCAATAGGGAAAGGGCAGTTTTACAACAAATGACACCGGAAAAACCGGCTATCCACATGCCAAAGAAAGAGGTTGGACCATTACCTAACACTATATACAAAAATTAACTCAAAATGGACGAAAGACCTAAATGTAAGAACTGAAACTATAAAACTCTTAGATGAAAACACAGGGCAAATGCTTCACAACACTGGATTTGGCAGTGATTTCTTGGATATTGCACCAGAGACACAGGCAACAAAAGAAAAGGTAGACAAATTGGGCTTCATGAAAATTTATAAATTTTGTGCATCAAAAGCAAAAAAACAAACAAGCCAATTAAAAAATGGGCAAAGGACTCGAATAGACATTTCTCCACAGGAGATATACAAATGGCCAATAAGCATATGAAAAGATGATCAGCATCACTAGTCATTAGGGAAATGCAAATCAAAACCCACAATGAGATACCACTTCACACCCATTAGGATGGCTATTATTATTTTTTTAAAAGATAGTAATAAGTGTTGGTGAGGATGTAGAGAAGTTGGAACACTTGTGCATTGCTAATGGGAATATAAAATGTTTCTGTGCAGCTGGTACGGAAAACAGTATGATGATTCCGCAAAAAAACTAAAATAGGATTACCATATGATCCAGCAATTCCACTTCAGGGTATATACCCAAAAGAAGTGAAACAGGGACTTCCACAGATATTTGTATACCCATGTTCATAACAGCTTTATTCACAATAGCTAAAGGTAGAAGCAACCCAAGTGTCCATCAGTGGATGAATGGATAAACAAAATGTGCTATGTACCTACAATGGAATATTATTCAGGAAATTCAAGGGTCCCTGTGTGGTGTAGTCAGTTAAGAGTCTGACTCTTAGTTTCAGCTCAGGTTGCAATCATAGGCCCTGCATTGGGCTCTGTGCTGAGTAAGGAGTCTGCTTGAGTTTCTCTCTCCCTCTCCCTTTGCCCCTCCCACTTGTGCTTTCTGTCTCTCTCTAAAACAAATAAATCTTAAAAAAAAAAGGAAGGAAATTTTGACATCAGCTACAATGTGGATAAACCTTGAAGACATTATGCTAAATGAAATAAGCCAGTCACAAAAAGACAAATATTATATGATTCCACTTATATGAGAGTCCTGGAGTAGTCAAATCCATAGAAACAGAAAGTAGAATGGTGGCATCGCCAGGGACCATTGAGGAGGGCAGAATAGAGAGTTATTGTTTAATAGGTACAAAGTTTTAGTTTGGAAAGATGAAAACAATTCTGGAAATGGACGGTGATGAGAGTTGCACAACAATATGAATGTATTTAATGCCACAGAATTATCTAATTAAAAAAATAGCTAAGGTTGGGACACCTGGGTGGCTCAGTCAGTTAAGTGTCTGCCTTCGGCTCAGGTCATGATCCCGGGGTCCTGGATGGAGTCCCACATCGACCTCCCTGCTCAGCGGGGAGCCTGCTTCTCCCTCTCCTCCCTGCTCGTTCTCTCTCTCTCTCTCTCTCTCACTATCTCTGTCACTATATCTGTCTCTCTCTCAAATAAATAAAATCTTTTTTAAAAAATACCTAAAATTGTAAATTTTATGTCATGTATATTTTATCACAATAAAACAAAAATTAGAAACAGACACCAGCAATAATAAATGGATGAATTGTCAAAAAAAATTAGGAGGAATTTAAACGTCCAAAAATAGAGGAACAGGAATGATTACTTAATTACGATAACCCACTCAGTGGGATATTTATGGAGCCAGTAACATTTATTGATGGTGGCAACATGTAAAATGCCTATGGTATAGTGTTAAGTGGGAAGGAGGTAAAATTGGCACATATTATGATTGCAACTATAAATATATCTAGCTCAAGGATAAAACCTAAAAGGAAATATCAAAATGCTTTAAAAATTTGCATTAGAGTGATGAGATGACTGCCTTTTCTGGTCTGTTTTCCAGTTGTTTTCGAAAGTAGATATAATAATCTTTAATGGAAAATGTATAATCAAAACTGAAAAGAAGGAACAAAGAAAAAGCTTTTCAATAATTATTATTAAAACTCACTTTTAGTTATTATTTATAAAATCCAGAAGGCTGGATATTTTTGAGGCTTTTGCAAAGTAGTATAAATACCAAGGATGTAAGTAACTGAGGTTCCTAGAAAACTCTTGTTCAACTCTAGCCTCAGAAACTACTTCAGGATTTGGGTCACTGAGCAAAGGGCATGGAAAATGAATCTTTGAAAAAAGAAACTTTTCAAGGACTGTCATGTGTTTGACACTTCCTAGAGGCAGAAACTGCATGTTCAGAGATGCCTTTCTAGGTTAAAGCAGACTCACAGCATGGTAAATAGAGAGCCTTTAAAACTGCTCTCCCAGGGGCGCCTGGGTAGCTCAGTGGGTTAAGCATCTGCCTTCAGCTCAGGTCTTGATCTCAGGGTCCTGGGATTGAGCCCCGCATCGGGCTCCCTGCTCAGTGGGGAGTCTGCTTCTCCCTCTCCCTCTGCCACTCCTCTGCTCATTCTGTCTCTCTCTCTCATTGTCTCTCTAAATAAGTAAATAAAATATTTTTTAAAAAACTGCTCTCCCAAATGAGGCAGTGACTGCTTCTAAGTGGGTTATACTCAAAACTTAACTCTGCATCTATGTTTGTCTGGCTTCCTTGTCATCAGCTCATTGTCTTCAGCAAGTTTCACCTCTAACCCCATCCCACCGCCCACTCAGGAAGAAGAATCAGAATGAGAAGGAATTGGGTTCAGATGGGGATGTTTCCTCTTTAGAAGAGAGGCACAGGGTGGGAGCAGGTGGGTGACTGTTCGCAGAACAGAAGCTGCAACCTCACCTCAGGTTGCTCAGCTCCTTCGTAGACTCTCCATGACCTCCCACTGAGAACAGCTCACAGTATCAGCTTCCTGGAAGACGCGGAGCAAGGGGAACCTGAAGAAGATGTCCCTTCAGACACCACAGTTTGCTTCTTTTTCACCCTGTGCCACTTTGGACCGTTCTGTTCTCTCATCCATCGTAGGTGGTTCGAGATCAGATCTCTCACTGCACAGTGAAATTGCGCCAGACCACAGGTCTCATGGAGTACTGCCTGGAGGTCATTAAGGAAAATGATCCTAGTGGCTTTTTGCAGGTAAGTGTCAACTAGTTTCCGCTTCAGATTCTCAATGTCCCATGAAACTCAGTCTACAATGCCACAGCCAGACTCCCAACAGCCCTTGCTGAGCATGGGTCCCTCCACAATGGAACCCACTTTCAGGCTGCCATGCATATGTGGGCACCAGTAAAACTCCACTAACTTCCTGGAAGTCTCTGCCACCATGTGCTACAAGATTGAGAAGTATATGGGCTTCTTAAAATTTGTTTTTGTTCATGTTTAATCATGAAAATGTAATTCCCTGTTAAGTTCCTCCAAAGCAGAGTCACTGCCTTGCCTAAGAATTTGGTCCCTTTCCACTAATATCTTGGACAGCTTTGTCAGCTAGAAATGTCTAAATATGCAAGCCTTCTACCTTCTTGACAGTTCCTACTGGCCAGTGATTTCCCAAATAAAGTGAAGTTTTTTTCATTCCTTGGATTTCTCATGATTTTTTCAATGTTGATTGTTTTAATGAGATGTGATGATGTCAGCTGAATTTTACTTGTTTTGATCTCAATGATTAAGGGAGATTTTATTAAGGAATACATAGATTCCTTCCAATTCATGTTTTATCAAACTGGCCAAGAATGACAAAGGGAGATTAAATATAAGAAATGAAAGAGTTCTCTATCAAAGAATAAAGTGATACAGAAGATGACGGGCTTAAAGTGTAAGAAATTCCACTTTTACAGATTACCGTATGCAGCCTCTCTAAACTACTTTATAAAACTCATTCCAAGGGTTGACAAAATACCCACACCTCCTATTAGAAACTTAGGGTTGTTAGTTCTACTAGGATTAACAGATCACCAAAATATTATTTAATGTTGTTGGCTTTTAGTTGATTAGTCATAAATATTATTAGCATATATCCAGGTTTATCTATTAGAGCAGTTTACAGCTGCTAATTATATAGTTGCTCCCACCGACTCACGAAAGCACCCAGATTTGCATGGGTGACGCTTGTCATAATGGGCTTCTCACTGCCTACATGGAGATAGGAAAGGTGTGAGTCCCAAAGTGGTTTGGTAATGCTTCCGGAGAGTGTAGGAGCAGTGTTCTAGGTCCAGTGTGGTATTATATTTCTTAGGCTGTGGTCTTTGATGTGATTAGATTTCCGACGCCCTCATAAGGAGAGTGCACCTGACTGAGGACCAGTGGGGGAAAGGCACGCTCACTCCCAGGATGACCACGGACTTCGACCTGAGTCTGGACAACAGCCCTCTACTGCAATCCATTCACCAGCTCGACTTCGTGCAGATGAAAGGTGCGTGCCTGCATCCCCCCAAATACACCAACATCCCAAGTGGATACTGATGCTTGAAGCAGGATCGAGGCTTTGTGCCAGATTGCAGCAAACAAAAGGCAGCGAGCAGGCTTATAAGTCACCTAAGAGGCAGGGAAGTAAACACACATATACCTCTGGTTAATGGTACAAAAGTCTGGAGTGGCTCCTAGCTTATCACGTAAGGGAAACGTACCAATTTAGCCATGTGACCTACCTCTCAGAAAGCCTGATAAATTCAGATAAACTCAATGCTTGCCTCCTTAAGAGTCTTAGAGATGTCACAAGCCAACATCGGTGAATAGCTGACATATAAAAAGATAAGGAGATAGAGACCGCATCACTGTACATAAATAAAATCTTGTTACAGAAAGTAACCCAGAAATATTGATATAAATCAAGGCAGTTCAGAATTGAAATAACTACTTCCACATGGATAGGTGGTGAGCAAATGGTTGAGCATAAATTAGTGGGAATTTGAAAGGATTAGAGTTGACTTGTCAATACTGGTCAGGAAAATGCAAGCCTGGTTACGGAAGGAAAATGAATATTTGAAATAAATTTTAACTTTTTTAAAAGTTAAACGTGATTTATGTGATTAAGGGATATGCAAGATCTCTTTGAGACTTTTTGGGTGGCTGGGAGGAAGTGCAAGAACCTAAAATTATCTTAAGGAAAATAACTCTTTCAAAGAAAAATAAAAAACCAAACATGCAACAGTATTTTCATGGCAGTGTAATATACATTGGAAAAATATTCTTTTTTTAACTTTCATTTTGAAATATTTATACATTCACAGGAAGTTGCAAAAATAGTAAGGAGAGGTCCAGTTACCCTTAGCCCAGTTTCCATCAATGGTTCCATCCTGCATAACTATCATCTTATATCAAAACCAGGAAATTAAGGGCGCCTAGGTGGCTTAGTCAGTTAAGCATCTGAGTCTTGATCTCAGCTCAGGTCTTGATCTCAGGGTTTTGAGTTCAAACCCCACATTGGGCTCTACACCCAACATGGAGCCCACTTAAAAAAAAAACAGGAATTAATATTGGTACAATGTATACGTATCACTCTGTGCCATTTTGTCAGGTGTGTAGAGTCATCTAACCACGGCTGTAATCAAGCTACCACCATAGAGACCTCCCTCATGCTACCCCATCATGGTCATATAGTCATACCCACATCCCTCCCCTCTGCCATCATCAGTCCCTGGCAACCACCTATCTGGTCTTCATTTCTGTAATTTTGTTACGTTCTAATCTTTTTTAAAATTGAAGAAATTGATTTGCTCTTTGCTTCTCCCAATTTAAGCAGCCACATAAAGGACTTAGAATTTAGTGCTTTAAAATTTTTGTTTTTTAAGAAAAATCTACCTGCTTCCTTTTATCAGACAGAGAGAAGCACCTAACCCAGCAAGTCTTAGGGCTCTGCACTTACCACATAGCTAACTCATAGCTAAGCTCATCCGTGTACCCAGTGCAGGTAACTCTCTCACCCCTTCAGTGTATTTTTGTTCTTTTATTTTCACTTTTCTCATTTTCTGTTTGTTATGTATTGCTTTGGGATAATGCCTTAATTGATTTTTGGAGTAGAGAGTATATAGATTGTTAATAAAAGTACTTTGTTGCCGCAACAAAAATGTTTAGCATTTCCTGACTGTTTATCAAACCAGATACTCTCCTAAGTGCTTCATGTGGATTAATTCAATTTATTCTCACAGCCCTAGTAGGTATCTGGGGAAACTGAGGCACAGGAAAACTGGATAACATGCCTGAATTCACACAGCTAGTGAATGTCAGGGCAGGGGTTCAAAGTCAGGGAGCAAGATTCCAGACCCTGCACCTACAACTTCCAGTTTGTGCTATAACATTAGTGCCTTATGAACTGGCTTCTTCAAGGAATAACCGAATTTCCTTTCTTAAACTTAAGAAATTTAACTTTTTGTTGCAGCACGTCTTTCTTGCTGTTATAAGTGTTTTCTTAAACACCCCCACAGTGGTCTTTGAAATACAGCCATCTGAGTAATATATGGAGCCCCAGGTAAATCCCCTTCAATCAGCCTCTCTCTGGATCCAGTTCTCTCGATGAGGTAAAATCATTGAAAGGTCATGTCACAAATAGCTCAGAGGAGAAAATACATCGCAAAAGGGCAATGGAAGGGCTTTTGGTGGAAGGGGAAAAAAAGGAGCCAACCCAATTAGCCTTGGTGATGGAGCAGGTAGAGGGGAAAAGCCTCAGGGCTTTGAACTGCTTTCAGCAGCTGACGGATCCCTCTCCTCCCCCATTTGCTGTCCTTCTGAATCATGTCCATCTGCCCAGAGTGGAGTCCAGGCCAATTGGCAGGAGGGTAACAATTGTGTTGGAATGAACAGGCCCTTCATCTGGTATGGGAACTGCAGGCTCACGTGCTGTGCCTCACAGACCCCATTCCTAAAGCAGTGTCACTTGGCTGCTTCAGGCTGCCCGCAGACATATGCGTGAACATGGCTGTGTGTCCACTCCACCAAAGTCTGTACACGCGGCCGAGAATGCCATGCGCTCTCAAGGCCAAGACGCAGAACACACAGCAAAAATTCAGCCGGAACACAAAATGATCCCAAACAGTTATTTACAAAGTTCATCTCACCGGCCATTTGGGATGAGACTGGATTATTCCATTTTCCTTTCTTTTTAACACTTCATATTAATTTAAGTTATTGCTGATTAGTATCCTTCTGCAGAGTTAATTTATATGCTTTGCTTTGTGCTCGTTAAGTTTAATTAATTCAGTGAGAGACAAGTACACTTTAGACTCTAAATAATTTCTATCTGTCAGATGTTTTTGATGGAAAGGAAAAGCCAAAAGGTCATGATGCAATAGAACTTGACTGGCTATAGTTAAGACAACTCCTACTGGCCTCTTTGATAGCTGTTAACATACACAACTGTGCTGGGTGTAGTGTTAGTGTTTTTCCATCGGAAATGCTTGGTCAGTTTAATACACTGCACTTTCACAGCTTGTCAGTAAAAATATCTCAAGAAACTGTACCCCCAAATCCACGTAAGAATGGCCAAAATTTAAATAGCATTGGGAACAGTGCTAAAATAATCTGACCATTAATACGCATACTTCAACATATGTTTCCTAATTATGCTAAGCAGATTACAGTAGAAAGTTAAAATATTTTCAAAGCTACTTAAAATATGCATTTAAAGTTCTGACTCAAACTAACAACAAAAATATCTGTTCATTCTTAACTGGAAATTCTAGCATCTCTCTGGTTTTGGGATTTCATCTCAGGTGCCTTTTTTTTCCTGATATCAAAGACGATAGGTCCGTTGCTGGTTTTTAAACTACTACTACCCAGCTACTACTCAGCAAGAAAATTATTCTTTTATGAGTGAAGGATTTAACTGATCTGCTCTTTCTGATTCTGCATCACCCTCAAGCAACTGAACTCTAAGTGGAGAATGCTGTACCTTCTTTGTTCAAACAGCCCCAGAAAAATATTATCTCAGAATTGTTTCAAGTATAGACAATGTCCCAAGATTCATGACTCAGTGCTGGAAAGAAATGCCAGCATGTTCATTCTGAACCAGGATATGACACAGTGACCTAATGCTCCCCAAAGCCTTTTTAACACATAAACCAATGGCTAGTAATCCCTTAAGTGCCTCTAGTCACCTAAGAACACATTTATCTTTATGAACTCATGTCAAATGTAAGAGCCCTGACTATGCACCAAGGTCATGGGCGAGGTCGGTGTGATGTGAACAGACCCTCTTATAAATCATAGAGAAAGAGCACCCAGAGGTTTGGCAGGGATGGGGATGAGCACACACACTGACTCGCATGTCATCTCTTCATGCACGTGATCCGTTCATGGTTTGGAGACCTGCAATGCATGTCCTCAAAAGCCACGTTCACATTTCTCTGTAACAGTGTACTAATGAGGGCTTTGCAGAAACGGCTTGTTGTTCCTCTAAAGCATAAACTTTCCTAAGATGCCACTTGTGTTGTTCAGCCATCACAAAAAGGAACGACGGTCCACCAGGGAACATTCAGACAAGATGGCTCAGGAGAATTGCATTCTCAGCCACTGTAGCTCTTGTGGTGAAATATTTCTTTCTTTTCTTTTCACGATTTTTATTAAAGTATGGTTGACACCCAGTGTGTCACACTCATGTCCACACTGTGTGTAGACAACACAGTGATTTGATAGATCCATGCATTATGCTATGTATGGTGAAATATTCCGTTAATCTATACTAGCAAGTCTCGGGGAACTTCATCACTCACATTACAGGAAGCAAAAGGAAACATTCCTCTTGGAATGAGGCGTGGTGACTTCCCTCCAGTACACTATTACTACACCAGACTGGAGAGGTGGTGTGGTGCAAATATGCACACAGCCCCTGGCGCCGGCCTGCTGGGCCTCCGACGCCAGCTCTGCCACCAAGTAGCCGTGAAAATTGTCTGTTTCCATTTCCTCATCTACCAACTAGCGATGATAACAGCACCTGTTCTTGTGGGGGGTGCTGTGAAAATCACGTGAGTGACGACATGGAGAACCTCTCAGCAAACTGCCAGGCACTCAAAAAGCATCACCCACCATTAGTTTCCACGCCCAGGGGGGGAGCCCGTGTGTCCTTACATGTCCCCGCCACACTCTTGGGACCTTTCACAGAGGAATCCTGCAGCATGGTGAGTGTTCACAGTCGGCAGGATGTGGAAAAAAAAATTAAATGAGCATGAAAAATGTAAGCTATACTTTGAACGAGAATGGCCTTAAAAAGGTAAGACATTTGAAAACTTTAAGAAGACACTGTTGCAGAATTTAACCTTGAGCTGAGGCTACACTAGTCCCCTTCAAGGAAGTCGGTAAGAACGGTTGCCCCCTGCAACTAAGGAGAGAATTTTTAGCCTGAAGCTTGATATTATGGGCCCAAAGAACGCTAAGCAACAGACTTTTGATCAGGTCAGGAGAAACTGGTTCTTTAGGAAAAACAAAGATGTCCAAGAATGATGTTGAAAGTGTTAAGATTAAGACAGCTATGGCAACCCAATGACAGAAGTTTCAGTAAAATAAAAATTTCTTAGAGTTCAGCCCAGGAACTGTGATGCTATCCATTTCCAAAACACAAATAATTTGAAAATACTTTGGATTCTTATAGACCATTTATTTTATACCTAATAAAGTGAAATAGGGTAATATAACACCCACTATAAAATCTGTTTTTCTAAAATGTCAGCCTTAGTCTTTGTTAATGAGGCTGTAATTTTGTCACATTTGCCTTTTATATGCCGCATCACTTTGGGGTAAATAAGGAAACAGAAAAAATAATTCTGAGCACATCAAGAAATAGATTTAGACATGCAAATGTCTCTATATTCCTTCATTTTTGTTTCTCTCTCTCTCTTTTCCTCCCTCTCTTTCATTCTCCCTCCCTCCCTCATTTCACTTTTTTGTTTGCTGAATTTGTTTAAGTTCTAGACAATATTAAAATCTGAAGATTGGTGAGTGGTTAGACTTTTTATTATCTTTTTGATCTTTTAAAGTGTATGCACTGAGGACTTACAAATGAAGTTCCCATGTTTTAATTACACATGACACCATGTATTTCAATTAATCTGTTAATTGTACCTATGCCTATACAAGGAAATTTGAGTTTCTTATCGGAGACATTGCAAGCATTTGCATGATTCAAGTTGAAACCATCTCGTGATCTTATTCTTTCATTTTAAAATTGATGAAATGTAGACTTGCCTGAATCATGAACAAAGGGAAAAGGAAGATTGATGGGGGAGCTAATGAAATAAAGAGAGTCCAAGGAATAGGTTGTTTTATGGTCGGTTTGACTCATAAGGACCGCTCAGAGCAAATGTCCCTGGGGAGAATCATTCCATGTCTCTAGAAGCCCTTTGAAGAACGGTTTGCTTAAACTCATCATAATTTACTCCATAGTTAATATGTTAAAATTTATTATTTTTAGAAGGGAAAAATGTTTAATGACCAAGTGGTTTCCTAATACATGATGACCTGAAGTTAACCCTCCAATTACAACTCTTAGGTGATGCCGGTTTATGGGTAGACGACCACTAGGAGTTACGTCTTCTCTCTCCTTCCCTTCCTGTCCTGTAGTCTATTTCTTGAACAAGGCAATGAATCTATCTCCTTTCCTCCAATTCTGGATGTTTGGGGACCTCTGAGGCTGTAGAAGCCACTCTTCTCTCATAAGACCAACTGAACCCTATGCCATTGAAATCTGAAACATGATTTCCCTTCCTACACTCACCACCTCCAATTAACTGGTCGTAATTTTGATTTTGTTATGTTTGCTCTAGTAACTCCAGCATGGTCTTCTTGTATCAAAGTCTTTTCTTAAGCATAATTGACCTGCCTCACCTTCGCATCTCTTGTGCTCTGATCACTGCTATTGTTCTTTAGCTTATCCATCTTAGAACCTGTTTCCTAAACTGCTATTAAACAAACCATCTTTGGGGTTGAGGTGATGGCAGGGAGCAGATAATTGGATGCATGACACGGAGTCCAATTTCGGCACAGCATACCAGGTGTTCCATAATTAACATTTGTTCATTTAAATGTCCCTGGATGTGGCCCAAACTGTTCTCTCCTATTGTTAAAGTGCTACAAAAATAAATTAATGGTTTGGTGCTAAAAAAAAATTTTTTAAGCTGTTGGTAAAAACACTGCTCCCAAATACATACATTGAGTTCATATGTTAGGAACTGGGAGTGTTTGGTACCTAACAGTTCTATGTCTATGTGTCTGAAGGCTCAACCACTCTGCAGTTTGAAGTAATAGAAAAGACCCCCAGCACAAAATGGGGACAAGGGCATGTTGTGACCAGTAGTACTGTGGCAGATTCTCACAAAGTCACAAGGACACCTTGACCCTCCCCTGCTGGGCCCCTTCTGCTCCCGTACTACTCTCCAGGCTGTTCTGCACCTGCAGAGAGTGGACCTGAACTAGCATAGCTACCTTGAAAGAATGAGGTCAAGTTCCTCAGAAGTTTTGAAATGCAGAAATCACTGTTTCTATGTCCCTTAGTACTAAGTTTTCACAAAAATCCACTGTTGCAGCTACTCACACGCACAAGACCTTGAGTAGAATCACTGGTAAAACAAACAAACTGCTCAGAATAGGCAGTTTCAAGTTTATACACTAGGGGCCAAGGCTCAGAATAAATTTTATGATACATTTTTCAGCCCTGTTATGGGTTACATGGGCTTTAGTGGGCTGGGCTGGAAACCCATCCTCCATTAAAATAGTTCCCTTAGGTATGATGTCTTCGGTGCTCAAGGGGGTGAGAATAGAGTGATTGTCTCCCCAACAGTTAAGGTAAGAAGTGCCACCATGAGTTTGGGAAAAGGCAGCACAGCAGCTTAGGACCCGGTCCCACTCCTAGAGACTCTGGAAGGGATCCATTTCAGGTCCCCTGTGAGCTAGCTACTTAGTTGAGCCACATGTTGATCAGGGGGATGTTTCTCATTCCAAGATCCTGAAATGTTTGCAACTCAGCAGAAGCCAGGGTTACACTAATTTCTGTTTAGCTTCCTCTCCAGTCCCAGCAACCCCTATCCTGCAGCTGGAGGAGTGTTGTACTCACAACAACAGCGCCACGCTGTCCTGGAAACAGCCACCTTTGTCCACGGTGCCTGCTGAAGGCTACATTCTGGAGCTGGATGACGGCAATGGTGGTCAGTTCCGGGTAAGTAGAGCGTCTGCTACCTGTTAACCAAAGCCAGGGACCACCTCAGAGGACCCGTTGTGGGGTCTCAGGCCAAGCTTCCCCACCTCTCCTGAGGCCAGACCATCCTGGCAGGGTCTGCCTGCCCTTCAACGGAGGCCTGCATTCTCCTTGAACCATCAAAGGTGGATGAAGGAGTCTCTGAATAGAAACTGCCCTCCCCTTCTCAAGAGAAGGCCCATGTAGGCCACAAGCTCTGGAGTCCAGCTGCTTGCACTCGGATCCGGACTCCGCCATTTAGCCATGTGACTGTGCCCATTCCTCATTTCTCTGAGGCTTCAGGACCTCATTTGTAAAATGAGGGTGATATTAACACATACCACATGCATTGTTGTTAAGAGTCAGTTAGATAATCCATCATATAAAATTCTTAGCATGCCAGGACCCTAGACCCCAATCTGGTTAGTATCCCACCGGAGAGTTATCATTTTAAGGCTGTGCTTTGAATACAAATTATTTTTACTCATTACATCAGCATAATGTTACAGAAGCCTACAGCTAAAGAGGGAGGCACATGCCTAACCTATGCTAAAGATGCATTATGCTACGGTTTATTTTAAGCCTTTGAAATGTCATTCTTCCCCCCGCCCCTGTATCCTCCCCCTTCCCTCTGCTCCACGATAAAACCTATACTCCTATGACTCTGAGTGTAATCTTTGTGACAGTTCCTAAAGTTACCAGTGGAGTTATAGAGACGACCCTCATGTTTTCAAACCAGTTTTTACAAATCATGCTGATGGAGAAAGAGCTCGGTAGGTATAATAATAAATGTGTAAATGCCAAATTAATAATAGTAAGCATAATGCTAACTATAAGCACCCAATTTTAAGTTTTTAAACCCTAACCGCTAGTAATTACCATTCATTAAGGTGCCAGGCCCATGCTAAATATAAGGTACAATGTTCAACAGTTTGCACACGTGACCTCCTTATAATGATCATCCTAGCAACCTCATAAACTGGGTATTATTGTCCCCATTTTACATATGAGGAAACCGAGACTTAAAAAGGTCAATTAGGGGTGCCTGGGTGGTTCAGTTGATTAAGCATCCAACTCTCGGTTTTGGCTGAGGTCATGATCTCATGGGTCGTGAAATCAAGCCCCACATCAGGCCCCACGCTGAGCAGGGAGTTTGCTTGAGATTCTCTCCCTCTCCCTCTGCCTCTGCTCCTCGCCTCCCCATGCTCTCTCTCTCTCTCTCAAATAATAAGTAAATAAATCTTAAAAAAAAAAAAGGTCAATTAAATGGCTTAGTACCCCACAGGATTTGAATCCAGATCAGGCTGCCACCAAAATGCTTGCTCCTGACCACTGAGTGACACTGCGTCCCTTACCCCTCACCAGGTCTAGCATTAAATGGTGGCCTGTTATTTGTTGACCCTCAGGAAGTGTATGTTGGAAAGGAGACGATGTGCACCGTGGACGGTCTTCACTTCAACAGCACATACAACGCTCGCATCAAGGCCTTCAACAAAACAGGAGTCAGCCAGTACAGCAAGACCCTGGTCCTCCAAACGTCTGAGGGTAAGGCCCTTCAGCAGTATCCTTCAGAGCGAGAACTGCGAGGCATCTAAAGTGGCTGGCAAGCCCGGAGGTAACCCCACCACTGCCCACATTCTGAAGTGTTTCCATGACTTGCTCTGCATTCTGGCACAATGCCGCTGTTCCTCTCCTGCCGTTAGAGAGCCCATGGTATGTGGATGTGATCAAACCAAAGAGTCCACAGCGGCAGTTCAAATGGCCTGGGGCGTCGGCTTCCTTTGATAACACTCTAAATAAGCTGCAGTTGAAGAAGCTGAAAAAATGAAGGCCTGAATGTCCCCCTGGTGTGTGAAACAAATGTATCTAGGCTCTAGGGCAGGCTCCCTTTCTCCACAACACACATCACTTGCCAATTTTACCCAGATGATTCTAAGTTGCTTTGTAGTGCTTGCCTGTTTCTGAGGGTGGGGCCGAGGTTGTTTCCAGCTGTGAATTTGTGTGACTGAACATGTTTCCAATGGGTGTGGGGTGCTAGAGCTGTTCAGAGAGGGCCTGTCGGCCACTCCTGGCTTACCCAGCGCGGACCGCTTCCATCTCACTGCCAAAGCCGAGGCCGGCGGCACCAGGACTGAGGCTTCCTGTGGGCACCAAACAGGAAATGACCAGCAACTCCACATTACCTCGCCATTTTCACCTTTGCCCGTCCCTCTAGGCTGGGTTAGGCCACCAAGGGCCACTGTACAAGGTCAAGCCCCAGAGAACTTTCACTTCTTGGCCATACTGTAAATATTTTGGTCATCAGAGTCAAGCCATTCCTCTCAGAAGAGGGGCTTGCCTTTGATGACCAGGTATAACCTCTGAGGATTTTAACATTTTCATTTTAAAAGCAATCACAGCACATGAAATTAAACCTATGAAGAGGTGATTTTGGTCGGTGCCAAAGCATTTTCAGACCTTCTGGGTGTCATTTTAATCATAGAAGTCACCCCACTGGCATTCCCCATAACTTCCCTCTGCAGAACCAATTGTGTTGATTTTGTTCAAATTCAAGATGTTAGCTCAAAGAACTGTGGTGGTGTTTTGTTCCCACTTCCCACAAACCTTGGCATGCACCAATCACCCTTTAAATGGTTCACATGGTTAAAAACAAGCACAACTTCAAACCCCACAGCGAGGTTGACAGGCCCCTAGACGTAAACACCGTGCTTGGGGAGCAGTGGTAAGTCTGTGAGGGATGCTATTCAAAGAGAAGGATTCGCTGAAGGAAACATGCCCGCACGACCTATTCCCATCGGGTTACAGGCATGTGGTAGCTACAGCCTCCCGAATGACCCCTTTAGCAACTTCTCTCTGGGATGACCTCTCTGCTTGAGAGCAGTTGCCTCTTTTCCCGAGTACCATGCTAAACGCTAAAGCCCTCCAAGAGTTGCCCACATGCCACGCAGAAGGCCCTTCATGAGGATGGCCTCGCTTCCCACGTGCGTACAAGGCGGTTTGACTGAAGAGTGAAGTGCATGCCGTCAGAGCAGGGAGACAGTTTGCAGCAATGTTGCTAATATGTATCATGAGACCTACTATTTCTATTCATAATATATCATGGAAATCATATTCTTCCGCTAAAATCAGTTACTAGCATAGCAGCTTGAGCATTCATGTTTCTCTTTTCATCCTGCAGGAGGATGTAGTTTCTCAGTTTCTCTTACTGTTCATAAGATTATGGTGTCTAATAAATTACAGGATTGGAACTGCGATCCCTGGTACCACAGTCACAGAACTGGGGGTCATTTTCTAAACGAAACTAACGGAACAAGTCCTCTTCCAACAAAGAAACTGTACTGTAGAAATTAATTTCCTCCATGAATTTTATATATTGTGTACAAATATAAGGTATGTATCTAAATACAAAGAAAACCTTACCATCGTGTAGATATATCAGTATTCTCTGTTACTGCACAGAAGTGATTTTCTCATGATGAAATAAAGTTCACACACATACTTTCTCCATAACTTTGGTTTGTTCTATTTGTTCCTTCCTCATTCTAACTCATTCATATGGTGAGACAAGGTTTAGAAAGCAAGAAAAAATATATAATGAATAGCTAATTTAAAAAAAAAAGATTTGATCAACCTTGTAACAATAGAGAAAGCCTATAGAATTAAAAAATTATATATATATTTTTGTTTTTTTAGAAATCAATGAGAAAAATGCCACTGACAGGGTTCAATACATTAACTGAACTTATATTATACTCTATTAATCTTCCTTCCTACAATTCCTGGAAAGGTTTGCTCTGGAAGTTTGTTTTCTTTGCTGCTCTTGGGGATGGCGTGGCGGTTCGTTTTGGCTTTTCTACTGTAACAAGATGTTTTGCGGTCTTCTTAGCAACAGCTAACCCTTTCCCAAAGTTCAAAACAAATGTCTGTATTACAGAGGGGTCCAATTCATACATGATAGCAAGTCTTACTTGTACGTACATGCATTTAGTCTGAGATTTAAACCACTTGTCACTTACATTCTTTGAACGATATAAAACCATCTGCTGACTTACAGGTGACATTATGCAGGGGAGATCAGATGTCCACATTGCTATAATGCTGGTCATTTTTTCCAGAAGCAGTTCTGTTTGTTTATCTACTTACTGGGCCGTGCTTGGTAAAGGCTCACTGTGTGCTACACCGTGGGTGTAGAGGGGTAAGCCGATGTCCCCCCTGTTTGTATGAGCTCACAGTCTAGGAAGAGGGACAGGCCTTAAAAGACACACAACTAATTATATATTTTCAAGTTATTATTACCACTGGGAAGGAAGGAAAGGAGACTAGCAGGAAGACATAATTTGTATCTGGGAATCGGTCAGGAAAACAATGAAAAATAATTTAATTCAATGGAAATTATGAAGAATGTGTTATTAAAAGGGAAAAGGAAAGGAAAATACATTATTAGATGAGTTCAAGTGTGATTAGTTCCCCGAAAGCAGAGTTCTCAGGAATGTACCTAAGACAGCCATGCACATAAAGCCAGTTGCAGGTCTCAACTAAATTACCCTAACTTAAGAAGAAATATAACTGTAAGCAATTAAGAATCTTAATGAAATTTTTAAATGAGGCCCACAACCCCAGTTGTATATATTTTTAAAGTAATCCATTTAATAGCCACCATGGCTGTGTCACAGTCTTTGAAACCATCTGCAGAAGTATATCCATTATGTAACAAGGCCTTCTTCCCACGTAGTTCTGGGGCTTATTCTGTCTGGAGACTCTACTCCTGAAAGAGAATTTTTTTTTTAAGATTCTCTTAAAAATGAGGCTGAGAACAGAATAGGAAATTTTCCTATTTATTTTTCCCTATTTTCCCTCTACCTATCTAAACAGACTTACCTTTTTCTTTTTCTTTAATCTGGAGAGAAAATGAAATAGACCAAAGGTAACATTCCTGGGACTCAAATAACTCACTATGACTAAGCTGGCTGAAAAGAGAGGGTTTCTCTCTGATCCCCCTCTCAGGGGGGAGAATTGCCAGGGAACGGCTTCACACAATCTTAGCAGAGATCGGAGTCCTTCAGGGGAGTGAGAACATGAAGAGTGGCACCTTTGAGTCTTTCAATACTCTCCCACACAAATCTTTGTTATCTTCCTTGGACAAATTCTTAGAATTGGAATTACCAGACCAAGAAGCATGAACACTTTTAAGGCCCTTGATCTGTGTTTTTCAATTGCTTTCCAGACAGATTTTACACCAGAAATGTATGAATCATTCCATTTTTTAAAATCATCTTAATTCTGCTATTTAGAGTTTAATTTTGACTAACAAGCAGCCCCCCTAAAAGTAAAAGTGTACCTAAAACAGGGCTTTTTAAGTTTATATTTTCATAGAAATCATATTCTGATTGTTTTCCATCTAATAGCTCCATGAAATAAGTTACAACATATTGCAGAGAAAAGGAATATGATCCAAAAAGGAGGAAAGACTTCCCAGAGTATAGAGAGACAGACGGACAGACAGAAACCCAAACACAAGGAATAACTGTATGCAAGGCAAAAACTTCAAAACTGGCCTTGAGCTGACTATGATAATGAAACCTCATTCATTTAAAAACATTAATTGAGCCCCTCAGTTGTGTCAGGAACTGTGCTGGGCCCAGGATCACGAAGATAATGAAGCATGGCTCCTGCCGGAAAGCTTATGGGCTCCACTCCTCCTCCTTCTTGAACTCCATGGCACCTGACTCAGAGCACCTAAAAACTATGGTACCTCACCTCTCTAGAATTAAGATATCCACCCTGCAATCTAGATAGTCATCTTACAATCAACAAGTGACAATGACCTCTGACTGGCAAAAAAAAAAAAAAAGAAGAAGAAGAAGACAAAGTTCAGGTTTAGACACTCCTGTGCTGTCCTTAACAGCAGGGCCTCTGATCTCCCTCAGTTCTCGCTGATTCTTACGATATGCATGAGGCCACTGAGCTCATGACCCACTTGGGAAGACCACAGCAGACTAGGAACATCACATTAGAAGAGAGAAGAGAGATTGGTGAGCAGGGAAGGGAACTAGGAAAACTGAGAACAGAACCCTCCCCCCGCCCCCCGCAAAAAAGTCAAAAGATAGCATTGTGTGGCTTGTGTTCTGATTAAGAAGGAAAGCATATAATGAACTGTAAAAATATTTCCATCTAACATTTAAAAGTCAGTATATTACCTGGAACCCTTGGAATTGGGTATCAGGTATATCTCAGAAGGCTTTATGGAATCACAATACAAAATACAGTGAGAAAACTATTGCAATAAACTCGGTCTCATTTTGTGTCAAGCTTCTAAGAACTTTCTTCATTGTCCACTAAAAGATTCCATGAAAAATGACAGCCAGCAAATATTTTTAAGGATACTGAAATCCAGTAGAACTGTATAAAAACTATACATTCTATGTTTCACTATAAGGTCCTAAAGAAAAACCAGGAATTTTTTCTGTTCACCCTAAAACAGCTATAAAGACTTCAGACTATACCTCTGTGCCCACTGCTAACGCAAACCCCTCTCCTGTTCAGTT